TAAAAACACAAACTTAATGGTATTATCATGGATATATGAAAACTATAAAGATTCTAATTATATTTATATTGAATATAACAACTGTAATTAATCTGATCTTTTAAAAATATTGGAGTCGATGGTATTCCTTCTATATCGCTGTTTTCAGACATTTTGATAATATAGGTAGGTAATATGAAAACTGATTTTGACAAATAAAGCAATTAGTTACTTAGGTTAGAATCTAGGACAAACAAAGGAACAGGATTCTTGATTGAAAAATTATGGGTTTCTATTGGTTGATAATCTGTATCGTTATGAAAAATCTGTATCATAATGGATATCATTATGAAACGGATTATGGTCATATAAGTGTATTGTTAGAGTACGGGTGTAGAAAAATACATATAATGATAAATTAACTGTGGATTATTTCATTTACGTTGCGTTACGTGGCTTCCGTGTGGGTAGCTCGCTGTTTATTCCAAAATTAACAAAGTATCAACACATTGAAGAGGTTGGCGACCACTGGTAAAATTATTCGAGAGATATCTATCGACGACCACTTGCAGGAAACGTTCTTTCAGGAAGCTGGAGAGCCATACACAGAAATGATCGGACAAGCCATAGCTTCGAAGTTTGGCCAGCAAACCATAACGTCACTCACGGTCAAAGGCCTTAGAAATATCAAGCGCAAAAGCTTTGACTCTCCATGTTTCTCAGTTGCGTTATTCCAGATATGGGTGGCATACGATAGAAGGTCACCTGTTTATATTTGTTTCCGATAGCCATATTGATGATCGCTCAAGATGTTAAAGCCTTCCAAATATTTAAGGATACGGTGTTTCACGGCTTTCTCCGTGATTTTTCATATCACTGATAGCAAAGCGACGGGTCTATAGTTATTTGGAAGATTTTTCTTGCCCTTTTTGGAAATAGGGTGAACGCGAGCAATCTTCCAACAAGAAGGAAACACCCATTCTTTGTAAGACGTGTTGAAAAGTCTGCAAAATACTTCATCAGGACCAGACGCCTTGACGATATTGAGCTGGTTCAAAGTTTGCCTGACTAGACGTTGTCGAAAAATAATTTCCGGCATTGTGGATTCTAGAGTGGGAATAGTGGGTGGTGCCTTTCCCAGAAAATCGACTGTGGAAGAGGATGCAAATTGTTATTTCTATAGATCTTGTTGTAATTGAACCTTCCTCTTGTATTAGTGATGGAATTGTAGATTTTGTAAAAAATTGATTAACAGCTGTAGCTACCGACCAAAAGGATCTAGACTCGTAGGGATTGGCAAGCAGTTTATCCCTAATTCTTTGATTGTGAAGTTCTTAGCTTCCATTTATTATAAGTTTGCAGCTGTTGCGAGCATCAACAAATCTAGTTCGGTTTTTGGCACTGGGATTTTTGCGCCATTGCTGATGGGCGTCAGAACAAAATTGATGTCTCCCGATGCGCGTTTCGCCAAGTCATCTCCTCGGTTAGTGAAACAGGTATCAAGATACAGCATTTTTGTTCTGGCGAGGGAAAAATCTTTTCAATAGATACTGTAAAAATCTACTTTTTGTTGTTTTGTGTACATTCTCAATTAGGTAGCCAACATAAGGATCGTATACCAAAAATTATGTCTAACTAGGAGATTGGATTGAAATCTGTTTAAAAAATCTGTATTTTCCTTAACCAGCTGTGTCACCCGACAACTCTCAAAAGTTAAAACCTATGCGAGCTAAGGACTAACAAGGTCTTACCTTTTAACGTGTGATTCCTAACACGGGTTGGACGATAGCAAGTGAAAGTCGATCGTTCATTCGAAAGTTCGTGTGAACCACCGGTTCACACAGCGGTCGATTGAGTGAGTGGAGCAAACCACCCACGTCAACCCAACCGGCTACCGTTCCACCCACCAAATCAACAAAATTATGAAAAAAATAACATCGTGAAATATGAACATTCAATACGGAAAAATGTGCACAGCATCTAAATAAATCATTAGAAATAAGCAGCTAATGTATTTCTTCTAATTTAATTGCTCTGAATGTTTTTCCTTAGAGACGAAAAGAGTTGAGATTAATTATTGCTTCTGCGACACTGGATGCCAAAGAATTTCAAGAGTTCTTCAACAATAATCCAACAAGTGATAACAAAAAAGATACTGCGGTTATTCTTTCCGTCGAGGGAAGACAATTTCCAGTAGATATATTTTATGTTGTAGGTGAGTGATCCTTTTCATTGTGTTGTATTAACTGTTTTAATATTTGATGATAAATAACCAACTTTCTCCTTGACTAATCCTGTATTACGCTTGATGTATTAAGCTTGATGTTATTTTCTTTTCGTGTTTTTTTTCTTACGTTGGACTTTTTCAGAATTTGAGGTCGATTCTTCGCCATTCAATAAAATGTAACTGATGTGTCTGCGTCTTATTTAACATATTAAATATTATCATTACACAAACACACACGGCAAATAAATGAATTCCAAATTGAATCGAGCTGGAAAACATACGTGTCTCGCTTAACAAATATTTCATAGCAAATGGTATTCCCGACGAACTAGAGGTACCTACCTTAATCACGGTCGTTGGGGATACTTCCTACGAATTAATGGTGGATTAGTGGTGTAGCCCCGATGCCCTCCTATCGGGGCTTTACAAAATGTTAAGATACAAAAGTTTTGAGGTTTTTCAAAATCTATCACACTAAATAAAAATTGAGTATACAGGGTTAGTCAAAGTCTTGAAGAAATTAAGTTGCTTTTTCTTTAATAGAACACCCTATATATTATTTCATATTTCAATTCTGTTCATATTTCTCATCTGCATATTTCATTTCCTAAAGTCAACCGTTTTCGAGATATCGCATTTTGAAAATAACTTTTTACTACTCTCAAAATTAAAGGAAAAGCACGAAATGATGGATATTTATTATGAAAGTCACACAAGTCACACAAGCGTAATTGTTCAAGATTGATAAAAATGCATGAAATGATAAAATGTATTTTTAATGAATGTCCAGGATATTTAAAATTTTATGAAAACAATAGTTATGCCAGGAGACAAAGAGAGAAAACAAGTTTTAATAAACAACAAATATTTTCAATGGAATGCTATTTGATAAGGTGCTCAAAGTGTTTACCATTCACCTCCTGACAGTAATTAACTCGCTGAACAAAATTTTGTAGTGAATCTAAAATCATATGAGAAAAAATGGTAGACATTTCATGCCTTTCTTGCAACTCTTTAATATTTGGCTGCCTATATTTGTGAACCACATTTTTCATCTGCCCCCCATAAAAAAAAGTCAAGTGGGGTCATATCGGGAGACCCAGCTGGCCATTCAATTGCTCCCCTGCGTCCAATCCATTTATCAGGAAAAGTTTCATCTAGATATGCCCGTACCACACGTCCAAAATATGGAGGGGTCTCATCTTGTTGAAAATGTATTTGTTCTGCTGGAAAATTGGAATTGTTATTATTCGGGAATAATCGTCTAAGCTCTGGAATAATATGCTGTTATAAAAGTAATAAATATCGTTTAGAGGTCAAATTTCCGTTTATAAAATAGGGTCCTATAAAGTGTCCACCACAATAATGCCACACCAGACATTTATTTTTTGTGTCCGTTGAGTGTGTGCGGTTAACAAAGTTGACATTTTCATTTAATTTATCCATAATAACTTCACAGAACTCGACTCATCGATCAAAATCGTCTTCATTCAATTCTTGTACCAAATGAATTTTACATGAATGGAATTTTTGTAGTTTGCAAATTTTTGAATGGTTCATGTTATTATTCAAAGCCCTCTGTTGTGCCGAATTTATTGGATTTTCTACCACTTCTAACATGACATTCAAAGAATTTTCTTCATTTGTAACGCTTACTGGTCTTCCACTTCTTGGTCGATCTTTGACACCTCCAGTTTCATGAAAACGCTGCAATGTTTTTCAAACGGTTGATTTAGAAATGGGTTCCCGGTTGGGATGCAGTTCATAAAAAATATACACCACTTGGTCACAACTTCTTCTTCTATCACCGTATCCTATGAACTTCTGTCCAAGGGCACAGATAATTATGATCC